TAATCCAAATTGTATTGGTTTACAATGTAAATTTAAAATCAAGGGTTGACTTATGTCCACCTGCTACTAAAAACCATTTTATACACTTTGAACTTTAAGCTCCAACTTGGCCAAAAGACATATTTGTTAGGAAAATTTACTTCCTAACCAAAGCTTAAGTAGTTTTTTAGGTGGATGCTAATCAGATAGCAATAGAAAACAGCACGCAATAATTTCAACCGATTAATTGATTATGGGATTTCATAATTGATTAGTCGCAATTGGTTGTGTAACCGATTAGTTTTCGATTTTAATTGATCATCGGACACCACTAGAAAATAGTAAACTTTTTTTCAGCAATTATTGATCCGGTCTGTAATCGTGATATGCATCATCCTTATATAGAGCATAATATGTGCAGCAGCAGTTTAAGTAATGTTAAAAATCCTGGAAGAAATTGATACATACTAAATATTGAAATGCTGTCGCGTCGTTCATTGTCGGCTTACATATTGATGTACTATCTACTCTTGTTTTACTAGTAACACAACGGACATTTCATTTGCATTATAATTGTCCATTGATTTCAATTAAATGTCCATTATGTTACCAACGTCCATTATGTTACATGCAATGTCCATTATGTTATTTGAACTAAATATCCCAATACTTTTTGCAGCATTGCCTATTTTCGGTTCTTTTTGCTCATGGTATATCAATTTATAACCATAAGCTAATATATAGTTGTTTCATGAACAAGCATATGCATTGATGTTAAAAATTCTATTCGGAACAGACCCCGTCACTATGCAATTACCTAAGCCATTGATATAGTTTGATTTTTGCTCTAACGAAAAAAACTGAGGAAACTATTGTCCATGTCCTACTTATGAAACTGTACTGCTGTTCTAAATTAAACAAAATTTAAGTTAAAGTTCCTGTTTTTTACCTTTAAAAAATCAATTTTAAAATTGGTAACATAATGGACATTTTTACCTTAATTACCAAATTTCCGTTGCTATGGTAACCAAACAGGTAATATTTCAGATTTCCGGTATTGAAATAATTAAATACTGATATATGTACTTCAGTTTGGTTATATAAAATTGATTGTTTATTGATGTTGTTTTTGCATTTTTTTCAATTCAGAAAATTGACAATTTCTGATAATGACTCATATGTATTTATACAGATGTGTTTGTTTCTTCTTCCAAATCTGTATCAGCTCACTGCTGTCAAACGGTTTGTGTTTTGACCTTTGACCAGGAACTGTATGTTTTGGTACTGTTATTGTTGTGTGGGGACCTTAGACCAGGAACTGTATGTTTGGGTACTGTTATTGTTGTGTGTGGACCTTTGACCAGGAACTGTATGTTTTGGTACTGTTATTGTTGTGTCGGTACCTTTGACCAGGAACTGTATGTTTTGGTACTGTAATTGTTGTGTTGGGACCTTTGACCAGGAACTGTATGTTTTGGTACTGTTATTGTTGTAGAATGCACCCACCTATGATTGCAGTTGGAAGTGATGATGCCAGCCCATCGGGTGGGGGTAAAGTTCAGATCTACGAATACAATGACAAGACCAGGAACACAACAGCGAACAAGAACCTCATGCTAATATTTAACATTTATAATAGAACTGTATGTTTTGGTACTGTTATTGTTGTAGAATGCACCCACCTATGATTGCAGTTGGAAGTGATGATGCCAGCCCATCGGGTGGGGGTAAAGTTCAGATCTACGAATACAATGACAAGACCAGGAACACAACAGCGAACAAGAACCTCATGCTAATATTTAACATTTATAATAGAACTGTATGTTTTGGTACTGTTATTGTTGTGTCGCTACCTTTGACCAGGAACTGTATGTTTTGGTACCAGGAACTGTATGTTTGGGTACTGTTATTGTTGTGTTGGGACCTTTGACCAGGAACTGTATGTTTTGGTACCAGGAACTGTATGTTTGGGTACTGTTATTGTTGTGTGGGGACCTTTGACCTGGAACTGTATGTTTTGGTACTGTTTTTGTTGTGTTGGGACCTTTGACCAGGAACTGTATGTTTTGGTACTATTATTGTTGTGTGGGGACCTTTGACCAGGAATTGCATGTTTTGGTACTGTTATTGTTGTGTGGGGACCTTAGACCAGGAACTGTATGTTTGGGTACTGTTATTGTTGTGTGGGGACCTTTGACTAGGAACTGGATGTTTTGGTACTGTTATTGTTGTGTGGGTACCTTTGACCAGGAACTGGATGTTTTGGTACTGTTACTGTTGTGTGGCGACCTTTGACCAGGAACTGTATGTTTTGGTACTATTATTGTTGTGTGGGGACCTTTGACCAGGAACTGGATGTTTTGGTACTGTTATTATTGTGTGTGGACCTTTGACCAGGAACTGTATGTTTTGGTACTATTATTGTTGTGTGGGGACCTTTGACCAGGAATTGTATGTTTTGGTACTGTTATTGTTGTGTCGCTACCTTTGACCAGGAACTGTATGTTTTGGTACCGTTATTGTTGTGTCGGTACCTTTGACCAGGAACTGTATGTTTTGGTACCAGGAACTGTATGTTTGGGTACTGTTATTGTTGTGTCGGTACCTTTGACAAGGAACTGTATGTTTTGGTACTGTTATTGTTGCGTGGGGACCTTTGACCAGGAACTGGATGTTTTGGTACTGTTATTATTGTGTGTGGACTTGTTGTGTTGGGACCTTTGACCAGGAACTGTATGTTTTGGGACTGTTATTGTTGTGTGGGGACCTTTGACCAGCAACTGTATGTTTGGGTACTGTTATTGTTGTGTGTGGACCTTTGACTAGGAACTGGATGTTTTGGTACTGTTATTGTTGTGTGGGTACCTTTGACCAGGAACTGGATGTTTTGGTACTGTTATTATTGTGTGGGGACCTTTGACCAGGAACTGTATGTTTTGGGACTGTTATTGTTGTGTCGGTACCTTTGACCAGGAACTGTATGTTTGGGTACTGTAATTGTTGTGTGGGGACCTTTGACCAGGAACTGGATGTTTTGGTACTGTTATTATTGTGTGTGGACCTTTGACCAGGAACTGTATGTTTTGGTACTGTTTTTGTTGTGTGGGGACCTTTGACCAGGAACTGTATGTTTTGGTACTGTTATTGTTGTGTGGGGACCTTTGACCAGCAACTGTATGTTTGGGTACTGTTATTGTTGTGTCGGTACCTTTGACCAGGAACTGTATGTTTTGGTACTGTCATTGTTGTGTCGGGACCTTTCACCAGGAACTGTATGTTTTGGTACTGTTATTGTTGTAGAATGCACCCACCTATGATTGCAGTTGGAAGTGATGATGCCAGCCCATCGGGTGGGGGTAAAGTTCAGATCTACGAATACAATGACAAGACCAGGTACACAACAGCGAACAAGAACCTCATGCTAATATTTAACATTTATAATATTGCAGTAATCTTAATATCTCTTTATTGTATATGACAATTGCACATCACCATTGAGTCGAACAGACAAGTTTTACTTTGCTGACTGGTAAACTAAGGGTTCAAGATGAACATAACTCACACAGGTGATTACAAATGTGGTTCAAAATAAGTTGCAATGTTTCAGCACATTTTCTAAAATCTTGTTAATTGATTGATAATGCCAGTATAGATTTTAAAATTACGTATAAAAGGAACTGCTGGAATATATTGAAAATTTCTTTTGTGCATTTTGACTATTACTGTCCATAAAGTTTTTTTTTTTTTTTTTTTACAGAAAATGGGTGAAAGTTGAAACAATCAATATAGTGACAGATCCTGTACATGACATTGCCTTTGCTCCAAACCTAGGGCGGTCTTATCATCTACTGGCTGTAGCTTCTAAAGATCTCAAAGTGATCAGCCTCACACCTCTCAGGTAACTTAACACTCAGGTACAATATCAGACAGGTGTAGTCACGCTCCAAACCTAGGCTCGTCCTATCATCTACTGGCTGTAGCTTCTAAAGATCTCAAAGTGATCAGCCTCACACCTCTCAGGTAACTTAACTATGTACTCGCACTCAGGTACAATATCAGACTGGTGTAGTCACGCTCCAAACCTAGACAGGCCCTATCATCTCCTGGCTGTAGCTTCTAAAGATCTCAAAGTGATCAGCCTCACACCTCTCAGGTTACAAAAATGTATACTTACAATCAGGTAAAATATCAGACAGGTGTAGTCACACTTAGGTACAATATTAGACAAATGCAGTGTTTTGGTCTCAGAATTGTTTTGTTTTTGTTTTTTGTTGGGGTTTTATTTGGGGGGGGGGGGGGGGTAACTATATTTGAGTCATTTTACTGTCTAGTTTACATGACTGGGATGATTTGAAATAAAGTGAATTTGACTGTAGATAGTAGACACTCATGCAGTAATTGTTTCCAGCACCAGGGATGCCCCTCTAGCAGCTAATCAGGTGAACAGCAACAAGTTCACCATTAAGAGAGTGGCAGAGTTCACAGATCATGAATCAGAGGTAAGATTGAATTAAAGTATTTTTAGTATATTAAGCAAAATGTTTCTATTTGCTTTTAGGAAAGTTGTTAACAATTATTTAGTTTCAAGTTATTTTCCTTTAGTTAGACAGTTGATGCTTTACTTTATAATACAGGTGTGGAGAATATGTTGGAATGTGATTGGGACGGTGCTGGCCTCCTCAGGGGACGATGGCTGTGTCAGGCTCTGGAAAGGTAAACCATTCACCATAACATCTAAATAATTATAGTGATAGGAAAGTTAAACCATTCACCATAACATCTAAACAATGATAGTGATAGGACAGTGTTTCAGTTAGCCTTATGTAAGCATCAGTCATTTTATTCAGAATAAACAGACATTTACTGAAGGATTTTATTTTTAAGGTGTATGAATGGGACTATAACGCAATGCCAAAACATAAACCACACATAATATGCCCCTGGACCATTATGGAGTGACATTCATAGTTTGACTATTCCATGGATCTGTCATTCTTAACATTTAGTTCCATTACCATTAATATTAAAAGTCGGTCATCAAAATTCATATATGGAAGTTCTGCACCAATTTATCAAATATAGGTCACTGTGACCTTTTATTTTCTGCTTCATTGACTGAGGTTAAACTTTGAGTTTAGTTCCATTTCTTTGGGGTTAAACTTTGGATTTAGTTTTATTTTCATCACAGGAGCAGGGGCATATATGTATGTTTACATTTTTGAAAATATTTTCCAGTTTAAAAAAATACTTATGTTTGGAATAATTAAGATCTTAATCTTAGTGTAAAATTTTGGAAGAAATTCTGATTTTCTGAAGGTTGAAAAAGGTTTGTATAATTATTTTGTTGTTAGCAAACTATCTAGACAGCTGGCGATGTATGGCAGTTCTGAAAGGGGACGGGACACATCAGCAAGACATGGACCGCTTGTCAGGGCTTGCTGCCCTTTCTCAGCAACCAAGCTTCAACAGTAACGCACAGACAGACATGGGTGTGAGCGGCAGCGTCAGGTACTTTAAAGTTACACCAGTCGCCTCCAGAGATCAGGTGCCCTGGCACTGACCCACGTCAATGGTTGCCCATAGCGACCAGTGGCAGGGAATGAACACTTAAGAACTAAATGAAATGGACACAGTAACAAAGTCTGTCAAGTGTCGAACTCTTGACAGTAATGTTCAGTGTATATAAATAACGCTGTCAACACCGACGGAACAGTTTTGTTATGTAAATATTGTTTGAGTGATGGGAATGTTAGGTATCTAGTTGATAGGTTGTCTGTAGATTTGTAACCTATTTATAACTCCCAACACAGTCAAGTATGCTAGGTTGTACAGACCTGTACAGACTGATTAACAGGCATATCTGATGACTGGATGTGTTCAAGGAATTATGACATTTTAGTAATGAAACTGCATTTAGTATAAAATACATGTCAGATGTTAAAACATTTATACTCTTCAGAAATATTTGTCAAGATAAATCAGTCCTTTTCTTGTATTGTCTCGATTGGTTTGATATGCTTTAATTGTGTGAAGTTATCCTTTTTGTCTTTTTTTCTTTCTGTACTTACTTTCTTGCTAAAGTTTCCCTGTACTGCCAGTCTATTTTTACATCTATCTCCTTAAATTTCAATTAAGCTATAAACTTTTCATTTCCTGCACAATCTCCTTTACAGGTCTAAAATGACGCAGTAGTGGGAAGGCTGCTGTATACACTTAGTGATTCACTGATGCTAGAGCAATGTCCGCAGTCTTACACATCATTTATTAGCATCAAATATCTGCATGAGAAAGTCAGGGCATTCCTTTTTTTACAAGCCTTGAACTTCATTTTATAAAACTAGCACAAGAAATTCCTCATTTTACTTTAATAATCTTATCATGTATTATCATCTTTGCCTAACTATGCAGAACAACCTGTTATAAAGGTTTCAAGTATTCTCTGTATTGTATTGGCAGATATTTAACGCAAACTTGACCACTCAACTGCTACAATTGTTTTATTGCTTTGCTTGGTTCGGCTTTGTTTGGGTATCCACATCTTTAACATTTTTTCTCTTGAATGGCTACCAAGAGTAATGAGAAATTATGACGTATTCCTAAGAAATTATTTGTGATAATAACAGATTGATATATTAGGAGAAGACAAAAGTGCAAAAAGGTTGAGCTTTTTAACCATGATTTACTAGTTGTTTTGTGGCTCAATCAAATGCCTGGTTTTGTACTGTTGTAGACTTTAGAATGCCTGGTTCTGTTGTAGACTTCAGAATGCCTGGTACTGTTGTAGACTTCAGAATGCCTGGTTCTGTTTAAGACTTCAGAATGCCTGGTATTGTTGTAGACTTTAGAATGCCTGGTACTGTTGTAGACTTCAGAATGCCTGGTACTGTTGTAGACTTCAGAATGCCTGGTACTGTAGTAGACTCAGAATGCCTCGGTCTGTTGTAGACTTAAGAATGCCTGGTTCTGTTGTAGACTTCAAATGCCTGGTTCTGTTGTAGACTTCAGAATGCCTGGTACTGTTGTAGACTTTAGAATGCCTCGTTCTGTTGTAGACTTTAGAATGCCTGGTTTTGTTGTAGACTTCAGAATGCCTAGACTGTTGTAGACTTCAGAATGCCTCGTTCTGTTGAAGACTTCAGAATGCCTGGTACTGTTGTAGACTTCAGAATGCCTGGTTCTGTTGTAGACTTCAGAATGCTTGGTTCTGTTGTAGACCTTAGAATGCCTGGTTCATACTGGGCCATACTTGACTGCCTATTTTAGTGAAATCTATCCATTAGTACGATGTCCTAGTACTATCACTTACGATTTGCCCGTGTGAGGGAATGGCACTACTGGTGATTTTTTGACATGACTGTATGCGTTAATATTATACATACATTCCTACTATTCTAATCATAAGCATAGATAACACTAAGTTACAAGTATTCAGCATAATAAAACCAAAAAACTATCATGTTGAATGCCGTGAATTATGCTGTATCATTAACACATCAGTTTATTCCATCTTTATGTATGACTGGATAGGTTTATAAGTTGCGTAATAGCTGTACTTTCAAACTTAACGCTGATCTAACAAGCATACAGGATCACTGAAGGAACGATGTCTAGATCTTCACAACTCATATAACTAACCTGGTAGGCATTTACACAACCTAATGATGAGCTGGCTAGAACAGTTTCTCTGAAACCTTTGTTAATGTTGTGTTTTGGACCACACCCAAACAACCATAACACATTTAAGTTAACATGTACTTTACAAAATACAAATGGAACTTGTAGATGTAACATTGCTTGGACCTTCACAGCTTGTAGGATTTGTTCACAGCTTAGTTGGTTTTCAGTCATACATTCTAGCATTCTCATGTTTATTTTTGATTTGACTATTGTCTCTTTGAGTGAAATTGTCCTGATAAACAGGACATTCTCTGAACTTGAATGTTTGTTCTACAGATTTTGTATATATATGATGTTGATTAAAATTTAGATCTACCATTAAATGTGTAATACTAGCTTTGCTTGTTTGTTGTTTATAACCGGACATTCAATAAACCATTGCTTTGGTATCAGTGAATCAGCCATGTATACACATTTAGCACCAACACATATATATATAATCTGATAACACCCGCAGCTTTTCTTTCTATTGATAATAAAGAAAGATCTTGCATTTCCTTTCTAAAATAAATTCTTTCACTTCTTTTCCAAACCTGTCTTCCTATTTTATGTGTTTTGTAATTTCATGCACATGGACAATTTGAACAAAAAGAGACTGGAATTCCTATAGCTGTTCAAGGTGGTATAACAAAGCATCCATTGGCCAATTTTTACAGAACTGTTAATTCCGTCTTTGCGTATTGCAGAGTTATCTTATCTTGGGAGCAGGTATTGATTGTTAAGTCACTTGTTTGTGAGAGTAACGTCATCAATTTTTGAGAAAACGACGTAATTTTGACGCACAAACCAATGACGTAACAATCAATACCTGCTCCCAAGAGAAGATAACTCTGCAATACGCAAAGACGGAATAAGCCCCTGCCCTAGAATAAAATTTGCATGCTTTAAGCATGCTGTTGGTGAAGGGCTGTTAGACATGTTCAAATAAATGACCTTGACACACTTACATTTGTGTTGAAAACTTTTACAACTTCTTCTTTAGATCTATGAGGCCTAGATGAATGATATTTGGCACACAGTATGATTTCTGTGGCGAAGGGCTATCAGGTTTTATTAAAATCAATAACCTTAGTGTAAATCTAATGACAAGACAAATGGGTTAACATGTTGAATGACTTATAATGAGGCATGGAGTAGTGATTTTGACCCGGTAGCTTGTTGGGATGAGCCGCCTTGAAGTTTAAGTTCAAATAAATGACCTCAACTCATATTCATTGCTTTGATTTGCATTCAATGTGACTGAAGTCTTCTAAGATCCACAATGCTAAGAGTAAGGTTATCTGGGACCAATCGGGCCATGAGGTTAAAATTCAAACTTTCAACAGAAATTTGCAGTTAGTTTCTGATTGATGTTTGTTGCCGAATAGAAATGTTAACCATAGAAACCACTAGTATGTTGTCATAGAAACCACTAGTATGTTGTCATAAAAACCACTAGTATGTTGTCATAAAAACCACAAGTATGTTGTCATAAAAAACACTAGTATGTTGTCATAAAAACCACTAGTATGTTGTCATAGAAACTACTAGTAAACAAAAATCTATAGAAATAGAGTAGAAGTTTCTTTGTTTTTAATGTAAACATTTATGATGGTATGCAACACAAGTACATTCAAGCATCACAATGATACCTTAATGCTTTTCAATCCTTAAATATCTATTATTAAAATATCAAGGAGTTGATGCTAAAGTTTGTGTGGGCCTGTTGGAAAGAACTTGGTAAATGTTGTGTAACTTTTAAGATGATATAGGCCATGTCTAGGACACATACTACAACAGCTATCATCAGCCAAGAACAAATACTAGAGGTCATGTTTAAGGACGAATACCAGAGGTCATGAATGGCTAAGTACAAATACTAGAGGTCATAGTCAGCTTAGGACAAAAAATAGAGGTCAATGTCAGCTTAGAACAAAAACTACAGACTGTCTATCTTAAGACACATACCAGAGGTCATAGTCAGCTTAGGACAAATACCAGAGGTCAAGGTAAGCTTAGGACAAATACTAGAGGTCAAGGTAAACTTAGAACAAATACTACAGACCATGTCCATCTTAGGACACATACCAGAGGTCATGGTCAGCTCGAGACATGCTAGAGGTCAAGGTCAATTTAGGACAAACACTACAGACCATGTTCTGTATTGAGACACATACCGGAGGTGATGGTCAGCTTAAGACAAATACGAAAGGTGATGGTCAGCTTAGGACAAATACCAGAGGTTAAAGTCAGATAAGGACAAATAATAGTGGTCAAAGTCCGATAAGGACAAATACTAGTGGTCATGATCAGTTTAGGACATTCTTCATACCATGTCTGTCTTAGGATACATACCAATGGTCATAGTCACGTTAGGACAAACTCTTGAGGTCATGATCTATTTAGGAAAAATACTAGAGGCCCTACCTTGAGATACACAAGAGGATAGGACATGTCCTGAATTGAACTGAAAAGATTTTATGCCATTAAGTCAATGATTTTCTAATATCTCTTAAACAAGAAAGAAGAATTCCAGTAAGTTTGGGAACAATTGGTATTAGTCAGAAAGGAGTCTCTGCTCCAGTGATAGTTTTAGTAACCATCCGTTTCTATAGTGACCGAGAGTAGTCTTGATTATCACCATTTACAGACATCTCTATAGACACACAGTGGAGATACTGATGTTTGTTTGAATGTAACAGTGTTTTATAGTTGATGTGTTCCATTCCAGATCTCCACCTCCTGTAAAAGGGAACATGAACATAAAGAGAAACTCGGGATGGCCAAACTTCAACACAAAAAAGGACCAAGGCAAGATGTACTACTGACCCTGTCTGACGAGTGATAACACTTATAACAATGTTTCGAGAAGAAGGTTGACTGTCCAACATGTATTATTTAGTCATTTTATTGTGTAAATAACAGTTATACATTAACATATGCATCCTGTGTACCAACAAAGTTGAAAGATATAATCAAAGTGGCAGAAAATGCTTTTAAATGCACAAACATTATAAGAGATATATATAAAGTTATAAACTACTACATTTTCAATGTCCCAGTCGATGGCTTTTAAGTGGAAAACTTCAGGGACAATTATATGTATGACCATTATTGTATTTTTCTGTAATTTCATTTTGAGATATTTACATTTTGCTCATTTACAAGTCTTAACCATTTATAATTTTGTGAGTTATTTCCCTTTAATCATGTGTAGAAACACCATAAATGTGTTCATTTTTGTCTGGGATAATTACTGAACGCTTCATCACTCCCTACCCATGAGACAATTGTGACATGTTTTATTGACAATACTCTCTCACACTGGAAACCTCAAATCATCCATTTACTAGAAAATGTATGCACTATTTTCTGTCACATTTTTAGGTCACCTGAGCTTTAGCTCAAGTGACCTATTGCTATCCGTTTTCGTCCGTCGTCCGTCGTCCGTTAACATTTTACATTTCAAACTTAAAGTCAAGTTCTGCTGGGCCGATTGAACTGAAAGTTGGTAGGAATGATCGCCTCATGGTCCTGACAAAGTGTTGTTATTTTTCGGGTCGATCAGAAATCCAATATGGCCGCCACGGCCGCCATTTTGAAAACCTATTTCAAACTTAAAGTCAAGTTCTGCTGGACCGATTGAACTGAAAGTTGGTAGGAATGATCGCCTCATGGTCCTGACAAAGTGTTGTTATTTTTCGGGTCGATCAGAAATCCAATATGGCCGCCACGGCCGCCATTTTGAAAACCTATTTCAAACTTAAAGTCAAGTTCTGCTGGACCGATTGAACTGAAAGTTGGTAGGAATGATCGCCTCATGGTCCTGACAAAGTGTTGTTATTTTTCGGGTCGATCAGAAATCCAATATGGCCGCCACGGCCGCCATTTTGAAAACCTATTTCAAACTTAAAGTCAAGTTCTGCTGGACCGATTGAACTGAAAGTTGGTAGGAATGATCGCCTCATGGTCCTGACAAAGTGTTGTTATTTTTCGGGTCGATCAGAAATCCAATATGGCCGCCACGGCCGCCATTTTGAAAACCTATTTCAAACTTAAAGTCAAGTTCTGCTGGACCGATTGAACTGAAAGTTGGTAGGAATGATCGCCTCATGGTCCTGACAAAGTGTTGTTATTTTTCGGGTCGATCAGAAATCCAATATGGCCGCCACGGCCGCCATTTTGAAAACCTATTTCAAACTTAAAGTCAAGTTCTGCTGGACCGATTGAACTGAAAGTTGGTAGGAATGATCGCCTCATGGTCCTGACAAAGTGTTGTTATTTTTCGGGTCGATCAGAAATCCAATATGGCCGCCACGGCCGCCATTTTGAAAACCTATTTCAAACTTAAAGTCAAGTTCTGCTAGGCCGATTGAACTGAAACTTTGTAGGAATGATCAGCTCATGGTCCTGACAAAGTGTTGTTATTTTTTAGGTCAATCAGAAATCCAATATGGCCGCCACGGCCGCCATTTTGAAAACCTATTTCAAACTTAAAGTCAAGTTCTGCTGGACCGATTGAACTTAAAGTTTGTAGGAATGATAGACTCATGGTCCTGACAAAGTGTTGTTATTTTTCGGGTCGTTCAGAAATCCAATATGGCCGCCACGGCCGCCATTTTGAAAAACTATTTCAAACTTAAAGTCAAGTTCTGCTAGGCCGATTGAACTGAAACTTTGTAGGAATGATCAGCTCATGGTCCTGACAAAGTGTTGTTATTTTTCGGGTCAATCAGAAATACAATTTGGCTGCCATGGCCGCTATTTTGCTACTAAATTCTAATAGGCCGATCTCACTTAAAATTGGTCTAGGAATGATCAGCTCATGGTCCTGACAAAGTTAAGTTAACATTATACTATTTTTTACTCAAATTGGTACATATTTCAACAAAAAAAACAACAACTGTAGACTCAGGTGACCGTTAAGGCCCATGGGCCTCTTGTTTCTTGTACTTTGGAAAACTGGATGCTCAAATCATGATTATATACAAGTTGTCTATTTATCTCTTTGTTCGGCTGTTTCTACTACTACTGTCGTCCTTGTTAATATCTGGGACAAAACTCAAGTGAATAGATATCCTTATCATTATCATCACTATTATGACAAAAGATTATCCGGTGAATGTACATCAACCTATAAACTTTGGGATATGTACTTTTGTATGTTAGTAAAAGTCCCCATCATTCAATTGCATGAAGGTTTTAGTCACTACACATTACGCAGGGGCATGTCATGTTTTAATATCTTCTAGGGACAGTCGTACCTATGACACCACAATCTGGTGTTTTCGGATCTGTGAGTAGCTATATAGAACATTACTGGTCCTTGTGACGAGGGAGGTACCTCTAGTCAGGTTATCTTCTGACTAATCATGTTGATAGACGAGACTTTATATTTCTCCGACAACCACTACAGGTTTTCTCACTCCGGACTCATTGGATGAACCTGCTGAGAGTTGGAAAACTGTTTTGGTTACCTGCTAGTGGGCATCCTTGATATCCAGGGGTTACGCTCCCTTTCACTCTCTGCACCCCTGGAATATGTCATAGCAAAATTGAAGGCACAAAGATAGCTGTTTGATTGGTCTCAGGAATAAAATACTGACTAATCAATTTTACCGTCACGTGACCGCGAGATTCTTTTGATGTATATCAAAGGATCGAGCTAGTCTTCCTGTCTCATTAACAAGGTGGCGCACACTGAGCCTTCCATTTTGCTATGACATATTCCAGGGGTGCAGAGAGCGAAAGTGAGCGTAACCCCTGGATATCAAGGATGGCTAGTGGGTTGCAACACGGAAATTATTTCAACAGAAACATATGGTTTTCTAGATGTAACGTCTGAATGCTGTGAGAGAGAAAAAAGGTCCCCAAACTTGTGAGGGTAGATAATCATGTTTAACTGACTCGAGTTAGATAAACATGATAACCAAGTATTGCTCATTAGGGAACCTCTATGTTCAATTCAAGAAAATGTTGATAGAGGACTGTAATGATATGCTTAATATCTTCCCAAAGTAGTAATTGTGCCTTATACAAATATTGACGACTTTATTGTTCAGGTACTTTTCACCCCCTTTATACATTGTATATTTACTGTCTACATAGCCTTTCCATTATAAATATTATATCTAGGTCAGTGTAAGACCTTTCACTATCTGTATGATATATTATGTATATATGTTATGAAAATAAGCAAATTTGAAAGTATGCATGATTTTGCTGATTAACATATTGGTCATTCAACAGGAACAAATATGTTCCTCAGAACCAAATATTCATGTCTATTGTCCTGTCCCCAGAACCAAATATTCATGTCCATTGTCCTGTCCTCAGAACCAAATACTCATGTCTATTGTCCTGTCCTCATAACCAAATATTCATGTCTATTGTCCTGTCCCCAGAACCAAATATTCATGGTCATTGTCCTGTCCCCAGAACCAAATGTCCTATCCTCAGAACCAAATACTCATGTCTATTTTCCTGTCCTCAGAACCAAATATTCATGTCTATTGTCCTGTCCCCAGGACCAAATATTCATGGTCATTGTCCTGTCCCCAGAACCAAATATTAATGGTCATTGTCCTGTCCCCACGACCAAATATTCATTTCTATTGTCCTGTCCCCAGAACCAAATATTCATGGTTATTACCCAGTCCTCAGAACCAAATATTCATGGTTATTGTCCTGTCCCCAGAACCAAATATTCATGGTCATTGTCTTGTCCCCAGAACCAAATAATAATGTTCATTGTCTTGTCCCCAGAACCAAATAATAATGTTCATTGTTCGGATCCAAATAACTGGGCATTCACATTCATTTTCCTGTCATCAGAACCAAATATTTATTGAACAGGAGGTTACTACTGTACCGGTTACCTAATTTTGTATTTTTATTAACATGAGTATTGAGATATGTTAGGTACTATAATTTTAAACCTGTTTTGAGGGTTGTGTAATGGTAGATTGTATAACTGACTAGATTCAGCATCATCTTAGTTGTGACTGTGTTTGGTGTACATGACTTTTAGTGGTTGAAAGTTGCGAGAGCAGTTAACTCGTTTAGTTATTTTTGGGTCCAGAAGAAATTTTTACTCTCAGAATGACTAAATTTTGTTTTAAAACATATTCACCAAGGTGCAATTTATGATTTTATATGTTTGTTGTTTTATTTTTTAGTTCATCTCACCAAAGGGTCCAAATCAGTTTATGCCACAGTGCATCACCTGTTGTCCAACACGAGTGATTAATATAAGTTGAAATAACTTGTTTCATAATTGTTGTAAAATAAATAAAGTTGATGATGATGATGTTGTCTCTCTGCCTGGCAGCAACTTTTTTCTTTAAATGGCCCTCTTCTAAATAACCAATCAGCCTAAGATCATGAAAGTATGCCAGTAGCATGCTGCAATGAAGGCCTACTATTTTTTTCAACTATATTACCTTGATCCACTTTCAATGTCACAGGGGTTAAATGTGTTAAAACCTTTCAACAACTTCTTCATGGTAACCAAGACTAGAGATACAATATTTAGCTAGTAACATGCTGGGATAACAGCCATCAAGTTAGATGAAATGAAGTATCTTTACTTACTTCCAAGTTCAACAGTGTCAAATGTGTCAGCACATTTAGATAAAAAATAACCAAGAGGCCTAGGGTTATGATATTTGGCTAGGAGCATGCTTGAATGAAGCACTAATAGGTTTGCTCAAATGAATGACTTTAATCTAATTTCAAGGTCACATGGGTCAAATATCTTAAACGTTTTGTAACAAAGTGGAAAAATTTAAGGCCCGACGGGTTCGAATACAGGACCCTTAGAATAGACGGACACTACTAATTGAGCTACCTGGTTGCCGATGATCCTTCCAGTCAAATTCCATAACATTCCTCCCTCCTTTTTTCTTAGTGTTCACCCCCGATGAAAACACTATTTACAAACCAGGTTTTAGTATCCCCTTGTTAAGCACTCGCCCAGTACTTGAAACAAGGGTTGGGCACAGGCACCATATGTAGCAAGAGCGTAATGATTCACAGCCTGACAGGGTTTCAAACCTTGGACCCTCCAAACTCTAGACGGATGCTCTAACCATTGAACTACCTGGTTGTCGATTTGATTTAAACATATTTTATTGCAGAATTTTGCAAATGGATTAGGCACAAGTTATTCCAACTTATGAAGCCTTCTCCCATAAATATTTTATACAATGACATGGCAACATCAATAGATTTTACACAAATCGATAATGAAAACAACGAAGGTCGAAGGAGAGAGAGAGAGAGAAATTTGAACCTACCACTGTCTTTAATAACTTCTGTACTGATTTGATACACTTTTAACAACTTTTTCTGAACAACCAAGCTTTTCTAGGGTCATGATACCACCTGTGACTCTATTTTATTTCAAGGTCACATAGGTCAAATGTGTAAAAATCATTTAGATTTCTTTTGAATAACCAAGAGCAACAACATTTTTAGGTCACCTGAGACAAAGTCTCAAGCGACCTATTGCGATTGCCTTTTGTCCGGCATCGTCCGGCCGTAAACAATTTACATTTTCGACTTCTTCTCCAAAACCCCTAAACCAATTTCACTGAAATTTTGCAGAAACCTTCCATGGCTTAAGGTCAACTAAAATTGTGAATTATATGGTCCCCAGCCCCCAGGGGCCTGAGGGGTGGGGCCAAAAAGGGTCAAATTGACTAAAATTTCAAAAATCTTCTTCTCGAGATCCAGATATGGTAGAATCAAATACTCTTCATAGATTGAAGGGTCTTAAGGTGCTTTACTAAAATTGTGAATTTCTTGACCCTTGGGTCTCACGTTTCCCCCTGGGGAGGGGGTAAACTTTACTATAGTTAAAATAGGGAAATCACATTTTGGACCAACATTTGTTTAATTGCCATTGGAAGTAATTCAATTTAGGTTAGCATTATCAGTATTGGATAGCAGTTTGATGGTATGCACATATCAGCCCTGACTTAACCCCAGGGGCTGATGGGTGGGCCAAAAAGGGTCGAATTGACTGAAATTTCAAAATTTTCTTCTCAAGACCAGATTTGGTAGAATCAAATACTCTTCATAGATGGAAGGGTTTTTAGGTGCTCTACCAAAATTGTGACTTTTATGACCCTAGGGTCTCACGTTTTCCCCTGGGGAAGGGGGGGGGGGGGGGCAAAATTTGTTATGGTTTATAATGGCAAATTATACTTTGAATATTACATGTTGATAACTTGATTGGAATTATAACCCTAAGTTGACAGTTTGATACTTTTAAAATGTTGAGCCATCCCTACTCCCAAGGGCTGTAGGGTGGGGCCCAATGGAGTCTGTGTGCTAAAATTTCTTCATTTTCCTTGTTTAGAATCAGAGGTGCGGTTTGCATGCTAGATATTGAATAAGGTGGTTTTATTGTTTTTTGTCACTGAATAATATTTCTGTTTATGTTAAAAACAAAAATCATTTCTGTATAAATATATCAGGTGACCGTTAAGGCCCATGGGCCTCTTGTTCAAATAACCAAGAGCAAGGGTCATGATATTTGGCCTGTTACATTCTCAGATAATGAACAACCAAGTTTATTCCAATTAAAGACCTTGACCCACTAACAAAGTCACAGGAGTCAGTTGTGTTAAAACCTTTAAATAGCCTTTTCTGAATAACCTAGAAGGCCTATGGTCATAACTTTTTTCTTGTAGCATGCTAGGATTAAGAAATATCAAGTTTGTTCAAACGAATAATCTTTACCATATTTCCAAAGTCACATGAGTAAAATAAGTTAAATCAAGCAAACATTCAGGTGAAGAGCAATACTCACCTGTGGAGAAGTGATATTTAGCATGCCTGTGTTCAGATAAACTTACATTGACTCAGTTTGAAGGTCAATGATGTGAGATGAAGTACAGTTGATCAATACAGGCCCATTGGATCTCTTGTTTTCTTTTTAAACACACAAACAAACTAACAGCTTGTTTTGTTATTGTTTCTTGTCTAAGATATGTACATTATATTGGGTCCATGATTATTATCACTATTGTTATTTTTTCAGACCAGGTCACGCTTTCAACTTTGAGTTTCCCATTGAGCTAACATCACTTGAGATTTTTCTTCCAGTTTGAGAGGTTCCATACACACTCTGAACATTTTTGATAACTCCTTGTCTACCACAGATAATAAAGCTGAACATAGGAATTCACTGATGACATTAAGAACCTCAGACAAAAAGTAAACTCACAGTTGCCATTCTTTCTTTGTCAAACAATATGTTTATAAGTGTAAGTTTCTTTACCATGATATTTGGTACCAAATATTCGATGTTTATGTCTACCATCATTGTCACAAATAATTTTGGCAGAAATCAATGTATCTTGTTTTCACTGATCTATCAAAAATTGTAAAGAGCAACCCAACTCAACCAACACCATGAAACTGGGTGTGTATAGTACTTGATAGTGAAAAGAAATTTTGTTAGTTTATACACCATGAAACTAGGTGTATAGTGCTTGATAGCGAGTAGAAATTGTGTTAGTTTATACACCATGAAACTAGGTCTGTAGTATATTTTATAATAATACATGTACTACAAGTTATTTACCAGATTTACTTTCCTTCGGCTGTTAGGTGCTCAGTTCTGCTGCAATCCTGCACTCTCTGAAATACATTATACAGTGGTATACATACAGGTGGCTTCTTCTTCTTGTATTAAATGAAATTGATATTAGTGTATGCTACCTAACTGAAACATCTTAATGTAAGTATAAATTCAATAAGAGTGATATATGCTACCTTACTGTGACATCACATAGGTACACACTAAATACATTTTACAGGTGAATCAATGGTGACTAGGACAAGGTAAAATGGACATGTAAGACGTGTGTGTGTAATATATCTTTGTGAAATGTAGCAATGTAACATTTTATCAAAGAAAAAAAATTGTGTTATTTTCAATATTTTACATTTTATTCTTCATAAACCATGTCCAGGTGACAATTATTATTGTAAGAATATAATTGTATTTGTTTATCCATGTTGACCTCTATGTTGAAGGTCAGAGAACTACATACTTATACTTTGTAAACTTGCAGGAGATGTGACTTTTATTTAATGGAGGTGTTTTATGTCAGTTTCATAAAATAATGCTGAATACAATAGTTAACTAAAAAAAACTGTTTTAGCTGTGTTTTAGTCCAGTTGTATAATGGTAACCTGCCAGTTATTTCCGTCGGCGTCAGTCAAATTTGTGTTTATCACGTGACTACCCAATGCAGTGAATACACCCTTGTCATATTGTGAGGTCAGAATTTCCTTGTCTACACCTACACAATGTTGTGCTGGAACCAAAGCTCGCAGAGACAAACAGTTATACACACCAGGTCAGAATTTCCTTGTCTTACACCTACACAATGTTGTGCTGGAACCAAAGCTGCAGAGACAAACAATTTTACACACCAGGTCAGAATTTCAGTGTCTACACCTACACAATGTTGTGCTGGAACCAAAGCTCGCAGAGACAAACAGTTATACACACCAGGTCAGAATTTCCTTGTCTACACCTGCACAATGTTGTGCTGGAACCAAAGCTGCAGAGACAAACAATTATACACACCAGGTCAGAATTTCAGTGTCTACACCTACACAATGTTGTGCTGGAACCAAAGCTCGCAGAGACAAACAATTATACACACCAGGTCAGAATTTCCTTGTCTACACCTACACAATGTTTTACTCTTTCTCCTGCTTCTTCCCCGGGATTTGGTTAAAATCAGCATTGACAGTGCGAATGCAACATCCCTAGAAATCATCATGGTATATCGTTAGGACCATTAATAACAGGCCCATAAACCATGTATCGTTCGTCTGTTTTTACTAACATCTGAACCTCAGTCCCCATAGGAGCTACCTTTTTCGTGTAAACAACAATTGATTCCCAGTTCACAACTACCAAAAATGCTTAATGTCATATGATTAAGTTAAGTGTAAGGTGGAGATGTCAATGATTTCAGTGTCGTAAGTGACCCTGGGGTGGGGTCAGACCCTGAGCTATTCCTGAAAGCATGGTTGTATTCATCTCTTCAAGCCCAGCAATTTTACATGGGATTACGGGGCGCGGATCTCAACAATTTCCAAGTTATGATCCAAGGACTATGCCACCAGGGACCGGCAAGACCCAGTGGTAATTAATCACGGTAGCATAAGTCTATTCGATTTTTGCGATTCATACCCTTTGATTGCATGAACATGAAGTCAGCTAATGGTGAGGTTGAAGTGTTGCCACTTACGGTAAGAGAAAACATGTTTCCCCGCTTAATTCATATACAAATAGTGATAAGGTGCTTAAAGGATTTAACGGCTCTGAAACAAAAATGGGACAAGTTTTCTAAAATTTGTGCAGTGGGTAAAAATGGTTGTATGTGTATACAATGACACTAGTTTAGTTTTTCCTCAGGGAACGAGTATGGAAGACCTTTAAATGACAGTAGATTTCTGATATATAGACTTCCGCCGAACAGTCCTCACCTCCTCATTGATTATATATTCGTAAGAGGGAGACTAGTAAGATCAATATCTCCACTACTTGTAGCAGTTTTATACGCACTTGAATACGTAGCACATTAATGGTGTATTATTGTTTTGATGTTTTCATTTTTAGTCAAAAGTGCCTGTGATCTACATTCACACTGTTTTATCACATATTTGTCATTGTGTTTTGAATGTCATTATTCAGTTCATGTGAGAATACGACTGACGGCATTACATAGTACAGGTCACGGTGACACGAGAAAATGACGGGTTTCGATTCGTGTAACGTCTGTAAGCTTTACTAACGGTATTTGTTTATAGAGCCCCTTCACCTACTAAGGTGGCAACATTCCATGGGTTAAATGGTCTAAATGAGCTATTTAATGTGTCTTTGAACAAACTTCCACGAAGATGAACATGGCAACCGAAAAGTTGGTAAAGGTCTAACGAGGGCGACTAATCTTATAAAGAGGAGACTACACATGTATTCTGAACAAAGGAAATTAACCTATTATGAATTTCGCCAAATACAAATTAAATCGCGCGGAGACAAACCCACTTCCCCGTAGACACATACGTGCATTGCCAACACGTACCACTGACAAAGCAGGCCAACCAATATAATGCCAACCTTCATTGGCTAAAGTGCCATGGATTTATTTACTGAAGTGTTTTGGGTGTGTCTCTGTTTGACAGCTCTTGCTATCTAATCATAATGACTTTAAGGGGAAAACACCACCGGATAATTGGACTGTTGTTTTAATTGGTAGATTTGTTCATGTTTTGGACGTCAAATCGAGGCCTACATTTCACCTCGTTTAGAATGACTGGCCGCATATCAAGCTACCAACACAAGCTTGTAATCTGACGATTTTTTCATGGTAAAATACATGATGGTGTTCAAGCTTCCACGTTAGACGACCATAGGAAGCGAACATGTCAGAAACACAAGTATAAGCCGTTGGAGGTTTAAAAAACAACAACAACACTGCAGCGCTCTACACACTCAACCGACATCCTGTTTAGATCACGATAACGTCACTGTCAGTGTCATACTCCATATATGATATTGTTAGGCCAGACGAACACTTTAATATGTTCTTAACGATAACACTAGATCTAGGTGACATACCTATCGGTATTGAAACAGCTGCCTTTAACCAATCACACGTCACTGCTATCTGAATCAGAGTGTCCGTCATCAGACAGATCACTCAGATCGTCTGCCTCTGCCCTGCCTGGGTTACAGGAGTAACAGCGCTTTCTGATGTCACACCAACACAGCATACAGTAGCCCACGTTACACCCCGGTGTCAGACAGCGCACGAAATCCTTTCTTTCAGGGTCTTCACAGATCAAGCATGAAAGTTTTCCTGAATGGAAGATTTTAAGCCACCCACACAACCGTGGAAACTCCTTTCGTAGGCTAGTGGTTAGACCTGATTTAACTAACAGATTTTTCTTCTTAACTTGTTTACGAATGTGGTGACGCATGTGACGTAAGAACCCCCGACGCTTCTTCAGCATGTCATTATACTGGTAGAGCACTCTTTTCTTCTCTCTACTTCGATAGAATCCGGAGGCAACTAGTCGCCGGAGACGGAGGCCATACGCTTCGAAAAGCATTAAAACCCAGAGGACGCCAAATGTGCCATATATCAGCAAAACATATTTCTGTTCCATTTTCACCGGCCGAGGTAAACACTCATAATTGGTAGAAACATTGTCAATTTTATCGTTATGGCTGAAAGCCTTGAGGAAAAGCCTGACGATTTCGGACATGAAGCCGGTGCCGAAGATGTCAATGTCAACTATGTGTTCCCCTTGCTGGTGGTAGTCGATGCGACTGTGACGCCTAATGATGTCGAGAACACTGTATAGCAGGTCACTAGACATGATTATCACTGTGAATATCAACGCCCGTATCACCAGCATGATTGTTCCCTTCACAATCTTCTTTTTTTCTGCTTTCATCAACTTTGGATTTGTCAAAAATATACAAGCATCACTTTCTACTTTTTTCAATGGAAGCAAGATTGTCTTAGAAAGCTTCTGTCGCCGAGCGTCAATATGACGAAAGTATGAGGTGATGTACATGTTATCGTGTCGAATGTCCGTCAAATATGCCTTGTTGTACTTGTAAGCACTGATGAATACCAGTATAAATGTGAATGCCATTAAGCGCTGCATCAAGGACAACCCAAATTCCAGCCAAACTTGCTTGTTCTTGAATTTGTGAAGCGTCTTTTTGCGAACCTCTTCCGCTGTCGTAACGTCCACCGCCTCGGGGGTGTTCACTACTTTGTACTGTAGATTAGCTTTGAAATCGTTATCCATTTCAACAGTCATTTCTTTAGCAGCAACAAACACCTCGCCAAAACCTTGACTCACCGCTTCGTTGGAGTTACAGGAACTTCCCAAAACCCCAGGCACCAGTCTCACCAGCTCACATACTATGGACAGTTTAAATGGTAGGCACAGGAGACCACCCACGATCGGGATTTTATCGCGACATTGTCTGTACATAGATTTAAATTTATCTTGACATTTAATGACGCCTTGGTTCCACACATCTTGACACCGATATTCTAGCTTTTTCCTGTATTCATTCTCCACCTTTTTATATTCCTTTGAATTATCGGGTTTGTTATTTTGTTCAATTTGCTTTGCCCTGTTTCCCCGTGTATTTCCAGAAGTACGATCCACGTATTCGGTGTTTTTCTTCATTTTGTCTTCTTCCGAATTATCCATCACCTCTTTCTTCATCGGGCCAAACTCCTCATCTATTCTCTTCACGACTTTGTTAATGAACATTCCTTCTTCCTGGAACTCGTCCATTACCTTTCCTATTGGACTCGTGGCCAATTTCCAGCGTTCCTTCGTGTGGTTGGCAAGTAATTCGGTTGTGCAGCCGAGAGATCTTGTTACTTCGTGTCCATTCACAATAATGGTGTGGATAGGCCCAGATATCAAATATATAACGGCAAATGTTGCAATGTATGACCTTCCTGTTTTTCCGAAAAATGTAGGAAGCAAAAGACACGTAATGCATCTTACTTGAACCGAAAGTGCATATCCACTTGCCAATCCTAGAACGAATACGCCCCCAAGAAAATGGCGGGTACTTTCTTCAAGCCATGTGAAGTCCAGAACAAGATGGTACAAGATAAGACCTAATGCAGCACCGAACGGGAATCCTAACACAGTTTTAACTGCAGTGTATTTTTCAGGTGGAGCTTTAAAAAAGTCAACGATATAAAACTTAATCTTTCCTACCATTCCCGGACGACTGTTGCCATTTTTGTCATATCTCCGTTTCAGGGTTCTTGATCTAGCTCGAGGAAGCGCACGATTGTAATGCAAAAATCCCTGTTGCTGCTCTTTGAACACGTGCGGAGCGTTACGTTGCATCGTCAATCAATCCTATATTTCAGCAAAGCCCTTTGACCAGGTTCACCATACCAAACTCCTCTACAAGTTAGAGAACTACAGCGTTTCAGGTAATGCAAAAAATGGCGGCTTCCGTGACGTCATGGAACTCTGTGTGACACGTCGTGATTATTGATGACGTCATTAGTTACAAAATATGAGAACCACTATACAATTATGGACTTCAGTTTCGGCCTATCCCTGATTTACGGACATGGTCTGAACAATATTCACCGAAGGCCGAGGTGAATATTGTTCAGACCATGTCCGTAAATCAGGGATAGACCGAAACTGAAGTCCACAACAGTTTTATTATATGACATTTTACAATGAGATTAATAATTGCTCATGTAAAAAATACATGGATACATGTAGTAAGGACCATTTTTGAATCACCGAGTGGAGTACTTCGAATACAAATAACATACACATTTCAGATTCGATTCATGCGATATTGATTTTTAAATAAATGTCATTTGCACAATCAACATCACATAGTTCAGAATTCAGTAGTGTGATTTGTAAAAATTTGATATTCTATTACTTGAAGTTGAAATTAACTGGGAATGGGAAAGGCATTGAGTTGGTATTTGTTTGTGAAATCATATATTTACAGAGTCGTCACATGACGTCGCTCCTCCAATCAGGGCTGGGAATTAGCGCCAGTCATATAATAATAATCTTTACATGTGGTCGTTTAGTAAGGAAACAAAAGGCTTATCCTATTAAATATTTTGCCGTAGAAAACAGAATGTTTGGATTTGATAATCGTCGCTGATGCAAAACAATTCTTAACATGCTCACACCAATTTGTGGTCTTGTGTAGATTAAGATTTTCGCTGTATCGACTTCAAGTGATAAGATCGGGTGTATATTGTTGCTGTAATGAGGCCGGATAAAGATTGCCAATGTTATGAGACAGGGTAAATATTTTCCTTGTAATGAAGCCAGATAATAAGGCCAGCGTAGATTGTCGCTATAATAAGGCCGGGTTGGATTGTCGCTGAAATAAGGCCGGGGTATATTGTCGCTGTAATAAGGCCGGGGTATATTGTCGCTGTAATAAGGCAGGCGAAGATTGTCGCTGTAATAGGACCGGGTTCGATTGTCGCTGAAATAAGGCCGGGTTCGATTGTCGCTGTAATAGGGCTGGGTTCGATTGTCGCCGAAACAAGGCCGGATTTGATTGACGCTGAAAAATAAGGCCGGGTTTGATCGTCGCTGAAATAAGGCCGAGTCTGACGTGTAGTACACTCTGATCCCCGATACTGGTCATTGTACAAATCTATTGTACACCCTAGACCCCAATACTGGTCACAGAACAAATTAAATGTACACTCTGGTCCTAGATACTAGTTACTGTACAGATGTGTTGTACACTCTGGTCCCCTATACTATAGTCACTGTACAAATGTGTAGTGCACTCTGGTCCCAGATACTGGTCACTGTACAAATGTGTTGTACACTCTGGGCCCGATACCGGTCACTGTACAAATCTATAGTACACCCTGAACCCCAATCCTGGTCACAGAACAAATTTAAGGTAAACTCTGGCCCTAGATACCAGTTACTGTACAGATGTGTTGTACACTCTGGTCCCTATAGTCACTGTACAAATGAGTTGTACACTCTGGGCCCGATACCGGTCACTGTACAAATCTATTGTACACCCAGAACCCCAATACTGGTCACAGAACAAATTAAATGTACACTCTGGTCCTAGATACTAGTTACTGTACAGATGGGTTGTACACTCTGGTCCCCGATACTGGTCACTGTACTAGTCACTGTACAAATCTATTGTACACCCTGAACCCCAATACTGGTCACAGAACAAATTTAAGGTAAACTCTGGTCCTAGATACCAGTTACTGTACAGATGTGTTGAACACTCTGGTCCCCTATACTATAGTCACTGTACAAATGAGTTGTACACTCTGGGCCCGATACCGGTCACTGTACAAATCTATTGTACACCCTGGACCCCAATACTAACAAATTCATGTCCCCCCTGGTCCTAGATACTAGTTACTGTTCAGATGTGTTGTACACTCTGGTCCCGAAACTATAGTCACTGTACAAATGAGTTGGACACTCTGGGCCCGATACCGGTCACTGTACAAATCTATTGTACCCCCTGGACCCCAATACTAACAAATTAATGTACACTCTGGTCCTAGATACCTGTTACTGTACAGATGGGTTTAACACTCTGGTCCCCTATACAATAGTCACTGTACAAATGTGTTATCCACCCTGGTCCCCGATACTGGTCACAGAACAAATTAAATGTACACTCTGGTCCCCTATACTATAGTCACTTTTCAAATTTTTTTTACGCTCTGGTCCCGATACTGGTCACTGTACAAATCTATTGTACACCCTGAACCCCAATACTATGAGTTGTACACTCTGGGCCCGATACCGGTCACTGTACAAATCTATTGTACACCCTGAACCCCAATACTGGTCACAGAACAAATTTAAGGTACACTCTGGTCCTAGATACCTGTTACTGTACAGATGTGTTGAACACTCTGGTCCCTATACTATAGTCACTGTACAAATGTGTTGTACACTCTGGTCCCCGACACTGGTCACTGTACAAATCTATTGTACACCCTGGACCCCAATAGTAACAAATTAATGTACACTCTGGTCCTAGATACTAGTTACTGTACAGATGTGTTCTACCTCCTGGTCCCCGATACTGGTCACAGAACAAATAAAATGTACACTCTGGTCCCCTATACTATAGTCACTGTACAAATGTGTTATAAACCCTGGTCCCCGATACTGGTCACTGTACAAATGTGTAGTACACTCTGGTACCCGATACTGGTCACTGTACAAATCTATTGTACACCCTAGACCCCAATACTGGTCTCAGAACAAATTAAATGTACACTCTGGTCCTAGATACTAGTTACTGTACAGATGTGTTGTACACCCTGGTCCCCGATACTGGTCACAGAACAAATTAAATGTACACTCTGGTCCCCTATACTATAGTCACTGTACAAATGTGTTGTACACTCTGGTCCCGATACTATAGTCACTGTACAAATGTGATGTCCACTCTGGTCCCCGATACTGGTCACTGTACAAATCTATTGTACACCCTGAACCCCAATACTGGTCACAGAACAAATTTAAGGTACACTCTGGTCCTAGATACCAGTTACTGTACAGATGTGTTGAACACTCTGGTCCCCTATACTATAGTCACTGTACAAATTTGTTGTACACTCTGGTCCCGATACTGGTCACTGTACAAATCTATTGTACACCCTGGACCCCAATACTAACAAATTAATGTACACTCTGGTCCTAGATACTAGTTACTGTTCAGATGTGTTGTACACTCTGGTCCCCTATACAAAAGTCACTGTACAAATGTGTTGTGCACTCTGGTCCCAGATACTGGTCACTGTACAAATGTGTTGTACACTCTGGTCCCGATACTATAGTCACTGTACAAATGTGTTATACACCCTGGTCCCCGATACTGGTCACTGTACAAATGTGT